CAAAGCCATATGTTTTTTTTTCTTAAATCAATAAAAACGTGAAAAAAATATAAAAATATTAAGTTTACTAAAGAAAAATATGTACCTCAGCAGGATTGATCATCTAAAGCGCCCCACAGTACGATGCTATGAACATGTTTTTTCTCTGTCGCTGCTCTAGAAAATGCCTCACTTATGTTGAAGTAATCGACCTAGATCACACCAAATATAGAAGTTACATAGAACAACGTTAGGAAACAGCAGCAATTAAGCTTGTAATGTTTTATATGCATTAGAAAAAAAAATTATTGGCACACTGACAAGTAAAACAAAATGAATAGTCATTCTGTAATACACAAATGTTCATGCATGGATTTCACTTAATGTTTATTGTTCAAAAAACAGAAATTAGGAAAAATAGTAATCATATGTACGAAAATCGATTCAACAATAATGTTAAGTTGGCATACTGCATTTCTTAAACAGTCTATCAGAACAGGTAACACAGAATTTGCCAAATTCCCAAATTTCATGTTATTGACGATGGTTTGCCTTCGTATTACAAGAAGTCAGATCTACCAATTAGAAATTTAAATAAGGAACATAGCAGACTCTTTTACACCAGCTACTTACTTCGACCTTAAAATACAGCACTATCAAATGATGCATGACAAAAAATTCCGATTCAGCTTACAACTTCGAAACTTTCAACAATCTCTTTGAAACTATTGTTATTTTTTACCCTCGTTCAACATTTTATTGATTTATAACTTTGAGTTTGAGTGAATTTTGTTTTTGACTTGTCGACATTATTTCACTATATTTGAGCGAGATCAAATTTTTACAGCAAGCTGGCACAATGATTTATCTGCGTAATTATATGACTCATACAACCTGGCGTGTCTGACCGCAACATTAATTTTTATGTGAGTGGTTTTTTTCCTATACAAATTCGTATATAGAAAATATGGCAAACCTGTTTAAATGGGAAAAAAGATTTCTGTAGTAGTTGTTCAGCGGTGTTTTGTGATATTTCTTGTTCCCACTGGATATGGGATATGTCCATACTAAATGTCTTATTACACAATACCAGAGGGAAAGTAGAAGACGGTTCAGGGGCAGATAACTCCATCTGCTTCATGTAACCTATCTCAACTGTCAATGTATCGCCTTGTCCCTCAGTGCCAGATTCAGAGGACCATTCCATATCTGAAGGAGTGAAAATGTTTGATATCTAGCATAAATAACATAGCCCTGTACAACTGATTGAATACCTCTTACTGTTAAATAACTAGACTATGCTGATCAACAATTTTTTAAAGAGTGAAACACTAACTGTCTACTGAGAGATAAGCCATACACATCAAGACCCTAATCAAACATCCGGACCCAGATTTGTGAGCTTTCCTCTCCAAGACGTCGGTATAAAACTATGGTTGTGAACTTTACTGAAACGTATTTCCTAGAAAATACGTCCAAATTAAAGAAGAAATATACGGAGGACGAAATCATAAAAATGAGTTTCTGGTTGGAAAACATCTTCTTCGAGTTTGGTGGTAAGATCTTCCAATAAATTATTAGCATACCTATGGTTACGGACTGTGCAGCTCTGCTGGTTGACTTGTTTTTGTTGTTGTTGTTGTCTTTTTTTCATACGCGACTGAATTTATGAAAAAGCTTATCAAAACGGGTAACAAAGACGTTGCAAAGTCGCTTAATTTCTCTTTCAGATATATTGATGACAACTTGTCTTTAATTATGAAGAAATTTATTGACCACGTCCATCGTATATACCTAGCTGAGTTGGAATTCAAAGACACAAACAAGGAGAGATTTTCCACTTCCAGATAGCAATATCCCTGTATCTCCAACCTATGGTGCTTACATGTCGCAGTTGATTCAATATTCTAAGGCCTGTTACCATTATAACGGTTTTCTATTTTTCTATTTCTTTATGCGATATGAAGCTGGGCGTATTAGATGATTGTTAGTTTGTCTGTTGATTCCGTTGTTGTATACACTGTTCTCATTTGGAAACGTGACATTACTTACTTGGATTGATCATGGTTTACCTGGCGGGTGTCGTCGATGAAGCCGAAGATGCTTACTCTTCCGCGACGCTAAGTCTTTTGTTCATATTTGTCCTAATTTTATTGACTTTAAGTTTGGATTATGATTATGTTGACATGTTGGTATTTTCTTCCCCTTTTGTACCTGTTGAGGGGTAATTTATCTAAATTCTTGGGTATAAATGAGGCGCTGTTGTAATGATTCTTGGATTACTTCGCATACTTTTTTATTTAATTATCATAAGGGCATCGAAAAGCAGTCGAATGCATTCACTGTACAGCTTTAAAACTTACCAACATTTAGTGATCTATCCGACGGAACAGCCAGATGGAACGAATCAACATGTGAACCGTCAGTTTCCATCACTAGTCGGCCGGAAAATTGAGACGGTGTGTACCAGAACGGCTGTTGGATGTTGTCATTTAGCTGGAATTCGGCATGAAATCTGCATGTAAAACAGACAAGTATTGATTATGGTGTGCGATTATGTAATCTACATAAGTTATACCTCCAACAACTAAGCCCCTGATGATATGTAAAATAATCTGCTGAAAGGCCATAATTGCGGACGTTAAGCCCGTTTAATAGACGTAAAGATTACTAATGAAGGGAGATAATTAAGTCACTAGGGAGGCATTAAATCCTGGGGAAATTCGCGAATGAAAATTGTCAAAATTTGAGAATTATTGGTAAAACAAAATTTTTAATGTTTTAATACAAATACATAATGTTAAATTTCGTTTACATCATGTTACCTACCGAAATGTGATGTCAAATTTAGATGCTGAACGCGCTCTAAGGACAGCGAATCCACCTCGCGGCTGAAACCTCGTCTGTAGGAATGGTCTCGAATGGAAGGAAGAGAGGAGACGTATTAGAACGGCCTGTAAACCATTCGTTTGAGGGGGCGAAGATTCTGGATGATAAAGACTCCAAACATGGCCGACCTCAATGTTCATGTTAGCGGGTAGGAAGGTTGATAGATCTCCCACATGGACTTCAAATTGGTCGATCTTAGGCTTTGTCCACGACAGCAGTGGCTCTAAGGCGGTGTCATTCTAAAATGATATTGTTACATTCTGATGATTTAACTTCAGGGTTATAATATCAACACGCCAGCGTGACGTCACCAAATGGCAATTAGAAAGTGATAAACGACACAGTAACAAGAGTTACTCCTCTTTATAACACATCAACAGAACTACACGTAAACAATAACAAGGGTAACTCCTCTTTATAACACATCAACCGAACTACACGTAAACAACAAGAGTTACTCCTCTTTATAACACATCAACAGAACTACACATAAACAATAACAAGAGTTACTCCTCTTTATAACACATCAACAGAACTACACGTAAACAATAACAAGGGTAACTCCTCTTTATAACACATCAACCGAACTACACGTAAACAACAAGAGTTACTCCTCTTTATAACACATCAACAGAACTACACATAAACAATAACAAGAGTTACTCCTCTTTATAACATATCAACAGAACTACACGTAAACAATAACAAGGGTTACTCCTCTTTATAACATATCAACAGAACTACACGTAAACAATAAGAGTTACTCCCCTTTATAACATATCAACCGAACTACACGTTAACAATGACAAGAGTTACTCCCTTTTATAACACATTAACAGAACTACACATAAACAATAACAAGAGTTACTCCTCTTTACTTTAAATTAACCGAACAACACGATTGCGAGTATCATGTAAACAGTTTTCACGAGTAAAACATCTAAGATAGCTTTTTCTACTTACCAACAGGTATTCCAGTTGGTCTAGTTCTGCAGATCTGAGTGTTTGGATGTCCAACGGAACAAATTCACTGCAGATGTGAAGATATTCCGCGCTAGCAACTCTTCTTGTTTTTTCATACGATGGCTGTCAGTAATATTAAATTGAATACATAATTACAAAGTTCACCTCATATTCTTTTTGCATTTATCATTAATGTAACCTTAGGGGCAGTATATATTTACATCAAATATATCGTGTTTATTTTCAACCAGCAAATGCACTCCGGTCAGAAGAAAAATATTCCAGACCTCTGCTTCAGCATGTAAAACAGATACTGTTCTTTGATAATTTTTTTATTCTTAGTTTGTTGTGATGCTGTAGAAAGCTGTTATATATAGACACATTTATTATAGATACAACACTGTACGTAAATGTACTTACTTTTTTTAAATGTGGAACTAGCGACCAGAATTCTGCCTTACTGATCTCACCATCCTTGTTAACATCAAAATGATCGAAGAGCTCAATTCCATACACAGGTTCGTCCGCAAAGTCCCCAGACGGGTAGTAAATAAACGATAAAACTGCTACCGAGAGAGAAACACTTAGCAAAACTTTATGACTTTTCAGCATAAGAATAACTTTTAAAAGTAGCGTTTTGATACCTTGGCCTGCCATCCTGGCGTACGTGACTTTAACATTATTGTGACTTTGTGTTCAGTGGATAGAGTCCTTATCAATTTTTGACCATTAAGTCAAGGAATACTCTACCTAATGCGACCCTTTTCGTTACAAAATCAGTATTGTTTTAGCTGAGGGTGGGTTTATCTTTGCGGGGACAATTTATAATTTGTAAATAATTATTTTATCTTAATAAGAGTAAGCAGAAAATATATCTATATATAAATGGACATTAATAAAATTCATCAATCTAATTAGCACGTAATTTATATTTTAATCAATATATTAATTACGAAAATATATATTTATATTAAAATGGTAAGCTAGTTCCTTAATTATTTGAAGACCCAAGAGGTGAACTGAATATGCTTATCTATCTAGCCTGCGTATGATAACCTAGTACAAGGCTGCCCATGTGTTGTCCCCTAGTCATTACACTACTTAACTTACTTTGTATTCTGGCAAGCTAGACAATCGGACCTGTTCTTCGTTGCCTTTATTAAAGAAAAATGTGTAAACTATTTCTGATACAGGTAGTTATAGTGTTGGGGCTCTGGAATGTGTCCGAGTCTCGGGTTTATACTCAAGCAGAACTTGATCTCTTAGCCAGCGTGCACTACGAGCAGCTCCCAAGACATCTGCAACTGATGCTGAAGAGAGGCAAAAAATTGGGCGATAGCAGGTGTAGTATAAAGACAATGTTATTTTAAAATGTATGATATATTCTATAATAGTGTATGTATGAACTAGCGTAAAATGCTGTTCATTTGATATACATAAATAAGACAGTAATACTTTAATCCTATTAATAAATTATCTTAATCATAACATATGCCATGAAATAAAAAAAAAAGTGACAAATGTGACTATTATCTTACTCAATGTTATAGTAACTGGTGCTGTAAGAACGGGGCCGACCAGGTGATCACCAATACACAGGTGACAAAGATCGCTGCACACACGATCAAGGAGTCTGTCAAGGTGCACACAGAGGACGGATGTGGATTCCTGAACACCCATACGTGTGAGAATACGAATATACAATACGTGTAAGTCATGCTATATTAGTGAATAGGTAGGTTTGTGTGGCATGTGGCATCTAATTTCTGGGGGAGGGGGTATCTTGATATAAATTGATCTTCAGCATATTTAGAAATTAGGAAAATTATTACACGCTGAGTCTGTCGGTATCAGTGTATTACACTCAGTGTCGGTTCCAGTGTATTACACACAGAGTCTGTCAGTATCAGTATATTATACGCTGTCAGTATCAGTGTATTACACCCTGAGTTTGTCAGTATGGGTGTATTACACCCTGAGTCTGTCAGTATGAGTGTATTACACGCTGAGTCTGTCAGTATGAGTGTATTACACTCTGAGTCTATCAGTATCAGTGTATTACACCCTGAGTCTGTCAGTATCAGTGTATTACACGCTGAGTCTGTCAATATCAGTGTATTACACCCTGAGTCTGTCAGCATCAGTGTATTACACGTTGTCAGTATCAGTGTATTACACACGGAGTCTGTCAGTATCAGTGTATTACACGCTGAGTCTGTCAGTATCAGTGTATTACACGCTGAGTCTGTCAGTATCAATGTATTACATGCTGAGTCTGTCAGTATCAGTGTATTACACTCTGAGTCTGTCAGTATCAGTGTATCATACCCTGAGTCTATCAGTATCAGTGTATTACATCCTGAGTCTGTCAGTATTAGTGTATTACACGCTGAGTCTGTCAATATCAGTGTATTACACCCTGAGTCTGTCAGCATCAGTGTATTACACGCTGAGTCTGTCAACATCAGTGTATTACAAACTGAGTTTGTCAGTACGAGTGTATTACACCCTGAGTCTGTCAGTATCAGTGTATTACACGCTGAGTCTGTCAGTATCAGTGTATTACACGCTGAGTCTGTCAGTATCAGTGTATTACACGTTGTCAGTATCAGTGTATTACACACGGAGTCTGTCAGTATCAGTGTATTACACGCTGAGTCTATCAGTATCTGTGTCTTACACGCTGAGTCTATCAGTATCAGTGTATTCTCCATGAGTCTGTCAGTATGAGTGTATTACACCCTGAGTCTGTCAGTATCAGTGTATTACATGCTGAGTCTGTCAGTATGAGTGTATTACACGCTGAGTCTGTCAGTATCAATGTATTACACGCTGAGTCTGTCATTATCAATGTATTACACGCTGAGTCTGTCAGTATCAATGTATTACACCCTGAGTCTGTCAGTATCAGTGTATTACACGTTGTTAGTATCAGTGTATTACACACGGAGTCTGTCAATATCAATGTATTACACGCTGAGTCTGTCAGTATCAGTGTATTACACCCTGAGTCTGTCAGTATGAGTGTTTTACACCCTGAGTCTGTCAGTATCAGTGTATTACACCCTGAGTCTGTCAGTATCAATGTATTACACGCTGAGTCTGTCAGTCTCAGTGTATTACACGCTGAGTCTGTCAGTATGAGTGTATTACACTTTGAGTCTATCAGTATCAGTGTATTACACGCTGAGTCTGTCAATATCAGTGTATTACACTCTGAGTCTGTCAGTATGAGTGTATTACACCCTGAGTCTGTCAATATCAGTGTATTACACCCTGAGTCTGTCAGTATGAGTGTATTACACCCTGAGTCTGTCAGTATTAGTGTATTACACGCTGAATCTTTTAATGCCAGTGCAGGACCAACTTTTTTGTTTTTCTATTTAGCGAGAAGCTGATCACCTACATCGACTACCAGCTCGTCCCTAACAAGAGCGTTTGTCCTGACGAGCAGATCACGTGCTGTAACGGATACATACTCGCCGCTGATAATTGTCTGGGTAAATATTACTACCACACAAGTCACTTAATATCAATAATATTGCAATAAATATGTCTTGTCACTTCCTGAAGTGAAACATGTAAAGGATTTAAACAACTTCTAACCCTAACATCTTGTTTTATCTGATGTCAATTCGATCTCTTCACCTCTCAGTACTCCACCAACCATTTTCGATAAAGAATCTCTATAATTAATACCTATACACAAGCAGACTATTAACATATAAAAAAATCTCAATCTATAAGAAGACTCAGAAGGGCAAAATATGAACTAGGAAAACACACCAAGACCCACAAAACGGTAAAATGATAAGGCACAAGGTGTTTCAGAAGGGTTAGCATCTTCTGCTTTATGTTCAAACTGATACACAAGCAATGTGAGGTTCTGCGAATATGTCCTGCTACTTCTGATACAGTTCATTTTCAGTATTATATGATGAGATATAAAGTTTTGATGCTGTATCAAGGAATGGAAAAGGAGATTTCAAAAAGGGAGGGGAAAATTAAACACGTATAAATTGACTTTGATTAATAATACAATAATAGCGAGTTGCATGTCCAATGATTAATCTGGTTTTGATGCCTGTTTCTCCACAGCGGCGGATGGCCAGTACCTGAGCTCCCTAACCGATTCACTGATCAAGTTGCAAAACGCCGGTCTTCTAGGATGAAATTACTTGACAACTGAAAAATAAAATGTTTCCTAAAATACAGACGTGTTTTTTTATTGATTGAAGACAAGTGAAGCACCGCGGACTAGTAAACTTATTAGTAGATGAAGATTGAGGTATATATCTGATGCGGTAAACGTTGTTTACTACTTGAAAACTATATCCGTTTTTTTTTATACTCAAAATCGACAGAAATTTCGATGGGAATTTCAATGAAATAAAGTCTTACATAGATAACATTGCAAAAATACAGAAAGAATAAGACTGGGTGTCCAGGAGAGTAGGTTCTTCTTCTTCATTTACAAATAACACAGCGTATGCTCAATTCAACTAAGTAATGTCATGCTCTCAAACGAGAACAACGAAACGGCCAGGTATACTTACAGGCATCAAACATATCTCATTTTATATTGTACCAGAAACTATAACATTTCCTCGTAAGGGCATGATGACAACGTTCCCTGAATATTCACATTAGCCTTCTCGAAACCCCGTGTTGTTAATGTATCGATCAGCTATCGATATTTCTCACAGAAGTCGTGATATTGCGGGAAAACAGTGACATGCGGTTAGGTTCTCATTTGGTAACATTTTATGCATAAATTATATATGAAATATTAAATATATATATATTGTTTAACATCTAGTAAGTATTTTTGTTACAATATCAGTAAACTTCACCAATATAATTTATATACAATGAAACAAACAAGGAAAGCATTCCACCAAACTGTATGATAAGCGTGATAGTGAATTTTCCATTTCTGGGTAGCAACCTACCGAGAACCCAACTTATAGCGTTTACATGATGCAATTGATTTTATGGATATTCTATGGTTCCGATATCATAATTTGCGTGAAAGATGTCGGCAAATGACAAAATCAGGACACAAGATTTCGAGGCTGAAGAAGATTATTGGGAAGTTTTACGGTCGTCATAATGAACGCTTTCGGCAATATGTTTGTTGTTCTCTTTAAGACTGTGCCACCGTTGACGAATAAAAATCTTAAATCGGCAGAGCTGGAATAGACTTTATAAAAAGAGTCACGATAGAAATAAAATATTCAGTATATGTCAATATGGAGAGTGTCATTATAGACGCAACGTTACCAATGGGATAGTGGAAGAAGTCTACCTATGTTATTATGTCACATTACAGGAAACGTGTGCTTTTCTTCAATCACGACAAAACTTATGTACCTACCTTCAAGTCTAAAAGAAAACGACAATTAGAAAGATTTTTAAAATGCGGAAAAGCAAGTGTTTCGGAAGGATAAACTGTATTATCTTCAACAGCCAACATGTAAATCTAAATGTCTATTTCGTTTCTTGAAATGAAAGCAATAGGGAAATTTAAATCACCGTACTTGTCATATCGCTAAGCAGTAAGCTATTGTTATAGTTTGAAGTAACACAACAATACCGATATGTCACCAGAAATAAGTGTCTGTAGTTCCTTGGATTTCAAGTTTGAACAGAGATAATCTTGAACAGAAGCCTTGTTTGAAACCATTAACTCTTTTAGAGGAAACATACCAGTACTTTGCAAGTAGGGCGATATAGAAAAAAGGCGAGTCACAACAAAAACTATTTGGTTAAAACTTAAAGATATCTATGTATCCTTATTGGACCATAAAAATGTTTATTTTGGAAAACAATAACGATTTGTTTTCATTCTTACAACGAGAAACAGAACAGAAGAGACATGAAATCATTATTGAAATAAGAATGCATGTCATAAAAATGGAATTGTTCTTACAGTACAAATACAAAAAGTGAAATCGTTACGTTAGCAAGAATTTAAGCAATAAAATTACTAATCTGAATACAAAAACTGGAGTCGTTACTTAAGCTAGAATGTAAACCATGAAATTTTTACTAAAAGAACAATACAACCCATTAGTATCTTAAGAATAGAAACTGAAATCATTACCTAGGTAAAGATACAGTCATCAACTCACAACTTTAGTATCACAATATATCTGACATCAGACATCTTTCACAAACATTACAGTTCATTAACCCAGCGAGAACCTGTTTAGAAGACATTCTGAGTGTATCTTACAATGGTTTCTGATTTAATAAAAACATAATGTTTTAAGAGTTTTTCACTCGGAACGGAGTTCATACAAATGTGTAAACAAAACTTAAATATTATTTACAATCATTAAATGACGACGCATAGCAAACAGGTTGTAAAATAGTAATAATGTAAAATCAACAATTTATCTTTTTAAAAAGTGTAAATGCCATAACAAAAGCGGATCGAACAATATGCACAGTGTTTTCAAAATCACATAAAATCACAATGAAATTTGTAAAACTGCATTTTTCTTTGTTTCAAAATATTTAGTTCGCAGTCTTTGTTTTTTATTATAAGATTTTATTTAAAAGCTGCAGATAAGACATAGAAGATCACAAACGATTTTGTAAGGTGGAAAATAAACTAAAAAGTTATCTTATTCAGGCAATTCTTAACACAGCTTAAAATAATTAAATACATGTACACGTACAGTTATCATTCATAAATAATAAAGGGCAGAGAAATGAACCTACTAATACAAAACACCAAAAGAGATATGAAATAAGGTACCTCTTCGATACAAATTAAACGTCGATTTGAACTGGAATCATGAATGACCTATTAGCACTAAAACATTGTAGACACGGATACCATTTGACCTTGGCTGTGACGTAATTACCAGATGTTTAAGGTATGAATGTGTTCATCCGGGTTAAATGTGGGCAATCTCATATAAGCACTAAAACAATTTAGACACGGATACCATATGACCTTGATTGTGACGTAATTACCAGATGTTTAAGGTATGAATGTGTTCATCCGGGTTAAATGCGAGCAGTTTCATATAATCACCAAAGAGGAAGAAGACCATATGGTGTTGTCCCATACACATGTTTAGTTCTCGTCTTCCTATCTGAGAACGTCAGTTTCGATATTTTATCTCAAGTTTTCGTTCTGGGCCTAGGATTTGGTAATAACAAGAATTGGCACGAAAAAAAATTGTTGTTGAAGTGAATGTTTGTTTATGTTCATTCTTCATACAGAATATTAATTATTCAATATTCAGACATATAATATCTTGATCTTCAATAAATACCTGGCCTGTATAGTAAGGAATCAAACTTATAATACACATTGATTAAAGCAGCAAGCGAGCACTTTCTCAAAATTAATTGAAACATTTCTAAGCATACCTAACCCAAAAGCTACCATCCAATTCCTCGCCAAAGGCTCGTTAAAATGAAAAGATCGTAAGACTCGTTTCACAAATTCACTTTTCTAATGGAAACTCATGCCAGATCACGTATAGGGGCATGCCTGAATTAAAATATGTGTCTTATGCCTATGTGTGTAAGTGTAAAAAAAAAAAGAATATTTTTTAAAATAAGAAAATACAAGATGTACTTTTGGAAGATCTTGCTCCTCGTTGATGATATAATATACAATTATGGCACTGCTTTCGATCCATATAAATCCCTATATTGATTAAAACAAAGTGTTGCTATTTCATTTAAATATCAAAACTAGAGCACAGAAAGTTCAAGGTAAGATCCCATGTCATTGGAATTAAATCTTATCCTATCATATTTAACACAGCATCATGAATACTGCACTTTTGATAAAACATCCTAGTGTGCCATCTTAATTATGATGAGGTACATTTGTATTAACACAAAGTCATTCTGTCACACCGTGATAGTACATATACCTGAAACAATTATTAACGGTTTTATAAAATCAATAGTAATGGCAGCTAATATCAAATAGCAGTGCGATGTTTCTTCATTAGTGTCAAAAGCATTTAATAGATAGTGTATTCTCATATTCCAAGAAATTCGCGCATGTCATTTAATAATTTAGTATTCGATTAAAATTGTCGCCGAAAAGTTTTCAGATATTTTCCAAAACACCCTTAGCATGACGTTGCCACTAGCTGTGTGTGTCTATGTGTGTTTCCCACTTTCTCTCGCCCCATTCCTACTTCATATTTCTACCGCATGTCGGAGTTCTCTAGTTTCATGATCATTAACGTAACCAAATTGTTTAACAAATTCTGAACAAAATCTACTTCATTATCAAAGCGTTATTCTCAAACAATACAGGTCAACAAGGTAGCGTAGATTTACTTATTGCCGGTGTTGTAGAAAAGGTAAACTAAAGAGACATATAATTATATAACAGACAGTTAACATATTCGGATGTGTAAACATTCGTAGTCTTATCAGTCCATTCCATTTGAATATTCCAGTCAAAGATCGTAACCATGAAGGCTCTGCTTGTCCTATTCTTTCTTTGTGTTATTGGGACTAACTGTGGATCACTGTATAATGATATCCTATTGAAGCTGGGGAGGAAAGAAGCCGTGCTTGATAGCGAGCTCGATGCCTTAGCTCATGCCAACCCTGACGACCTTCCTGACGCAGTGAGGAAACTAGTCCGTTCTCTACCTCAAGGGTAAGCTAACAGTAGTGAGCATTTCTCATGTCGCTATCAGATTAATTGGGTTCCGTTATGCACTGATGCAGTAAGAAAGCTTATAAGAATATCATTTTTGATTAGAATTATTATATAATTGTAATTATTACATGTACACCGAGATATATTATATAATAATGTATTGTAGTGTACTAAAACTGCGCGTTTAGTTGAATAAAAACAGTATAAAACAATAAACTGAATATCAACTAGCTAGAATCTTTAACGTAAGACACAAATGCAGTACTGCAGATTAAAAAACTGCTAAACACTGGTTGGTAACTACATTCAGACAAATTTGCTTCGTTTTAGTGTTGCAGCAATTATTCGGGTTTTTTTTTTTTTTTTTGTTCAATATCTTTCATCATACCATCAGCAGTTTACATTGTTGTCAAGAGCGAGAGAAACTTATCTATAAATAATTCGATATATAGCTCGCTACTTAAGGAAAGAGTAGACGATAAGTTTCCGGAAACCATAGATTGAAACTTCCGAGTCGCTTAGAAACAGATTCTTTCAAAACGTAATGTAAACAAGATGTCAACGAATAGGTTGGCAGTCATATGAACTGGAATCTACTATGGTATATTTCGGCAAGTAAACATAGACCAATGTCCCTATGCGACTAGATCATCTAATTTAATTATTATACACTCAGATCTGTTGCAGTAAATTGATTATATAAATATTTATTTAATTATATATTGTCTTGAGTGATAGTATAAAAATACTATTATCAACAAATGCTTGATCTTAACGGATGTATGACTATCAGATCTGAATTTCTATGTTTAGGCAACATCTGTGTTGTCGCAATAAGCCTGTGATCATCGAAACCAAGTCGAGGAAGGTCCAGCGAGTGCGTGCTGTGTTAGATACAGTAGCTACGTCCCATAAATGCGGGTTTCTCAACACTGGGCATTGTTCTTCTACAGACGAAGTTTACAGGTACATCCGGTTCCTGAACATTACTTGCGTATTTGTACTTGTAATTCAGATATACCTAACAAAAGATGTCATTTTTTCATTACACGAAATTCATGAAATTAATTTTTTCTTTAACGTACGTTTTCATAATTCATTTTTCAGATTTGGAAATTCTATATAGTGTTTTTTTATATACTCACGTTTTCCTCCACAGTAAGTCCCTCGACCTACAAATATGTTTATTCTTAATTCCATGGTCTAATTAATTAAATAATCATAATTTATATAGGTTATGAATGCCTATTAAGATAATGTGAATGATTCAATCTTTGTGATTTGAAATAGCGGAGAGCTGTGGGAAGTCTTATACCGCCATTGTCGTATCTAAAGACTAATAACGGTAGGATGAGTTATGAAAATACCGTGTATTATTTTTATTATTGTCGAAATCCATTTGACAACGGCGTTTTAGGGGGTTTCTCTACTTACAGACAAGAGACATTCTACGTGACTGAATACTACACACATGTGAGAAACGGGGACTGTCCTGATCGTCACATTGTCTGCTGCAATATGTACATCATGGTGTCTGAATCTTGTGTTCGTAAGTATGACATCATGGTGGCTGAATCTTGTGTTCGTAAGTATGACATCATGGAGGCTGAATCTTGTGTCCGTAAGTATGACATCATGGAGGGTGAATCTGCTGTCCGTAAGTATGACATCATGGTGGCTGAATCTTGTGTTCGTAAGTATGACATCATGGAGGCTGAATCTGCTGTCCGTAAGTATGACATCATGGAGTATGACATCATGGAGGCTGAATCTTGTGTCGTAAGTATGACATCATGTGTGGCTGAATCTTGTGTTCGTTAGTAATAAATGTTTGTGGATTTATGTCGTGTGCTTTAGTTTTAGATCATGGTGTCTGAATCTTGTGTTCGTAAGTATGAATCTTGTGTCCGTAAGTATGACATTATGGATCATTGTGGCTGAATCTGGTGTTCGTAAGTATGACATCATGGAGGCTGAATCATTGTATGACATCATGTGGTAAGTATGACATCATGGAGGTTGAATCTTGTGTTCGTCATGGAGTATGTCCGTAAGTATGACATCATGGTGGCTGTCTTGTGTTCGTAAGTATGACATCATGGAGGCTGAATCTTGTGTCCGTAAGTATGACATTATGGAGGCTGAGTCTTGTGTTCGTAAGTATGACATCATGGAGGCTGAATCTTGTGTTCGTAAGTATGACATCATGGTGGCTGAATCTTGTGTTCGTAAGTATGACATCATGGAGGCTGAATCTGATGTCCGTAAGTATGACATCATGGTGGCTGAATCTTGTGTTCGTAAGTATGACATCATGGAGGCTGAATCTTGTGTCCGTAAGTATGACATTATGGAGGCTGAATCTTGTGTCCGTAAGTATGACATCATGGAGGCTGAATCTTGTGTTTGTAACATTGTATGACATCATGGTGGCTGAATCTTGTGTTCGTAAGTATGACATCATGGAGGCTGAATCTTGTGTTCGTAAGTATGACATCATTGTGGCTGAATCTGGTGTTCGTAAGTATGACATCATCGTGGCTGAATCTTGTGTTCGTAAGTATGACATCATTGTGGCTGAATCTTGTGTTCGTAAGTATGACATCATTGTGGCCTATTCTTGCTGTCGTCAGTATTACATCTTTTTCGCTGAATCTTATTTGTTCGGTAGAATTACATTATTCCAATGATAAATCATTACTTATAAACATCGTTTGTACCATTGTTCCATATGTTGATTTGGTTGAATGGATGGGGTTAGCGCCGTCGTAGAAGTTTCAAAAGAAAAACACTGGTAAATTGTACAATGATGAATTCAATTCAATTGTCTGGGTCAAAGTTTTTCGAATAGGTTTTTTTCCCATAAAAAATAGTTGTTCTTTATTCATACAAAGGATGTTTATGTCTTAACGGGTCTCAGTCTGTCCTCGCATATATATATTGTGCAGTTTTAGCTGATGTTCATATCATGGTGGATCCTTAACAAACACCACATCTTTTTTTCGGTTTCAGATCTGGATGACCTTCATGAACTTACCACTCAACTTGTTGGTTAATCGTTATTTATTTGTTTATGATAAAAAATAAACATGCATTGACATCAGTAATTGTTTGATTTCTTTATTATGTACAAACTTGTTTTAGTCTCACCGTTTTGAATCTGTTTTCAAGGTTTCTGGTTGATAACATCTTTGTCGAGTTTGGCGATAAGATCTTTCAATAAACTATTGGCATACCTGAACTGTGTCCACTGTCGCCATTTAACTTGTTTCCCGAAGAGCTTATCAAAACAGATCACAAAGATCAATCTGTATGATAAGCTTGATTATTTCAATTTTTCCTATGGTGAATATTCCATTGCTGGAAAGCAACAGCCCTACATCCCCAACCTGTTGATTCGATGATCAATGGTATGTTCCCATTATCAGGATTTTCGTACAAAAATTGTCAACTGATGGACATACTCGTAACACAGGGTTTCAAAATATACAAGTTTTACAATCGCCTTAGTGATTTCGCTGAAAAATATTTAATTTCTTTGTGCGATATAAAGCTGGACGTGTTTGATACTCGTTAGTTTTCCTGTTTTTTTTTATATTTATATTGATACCATGTTCACATTTGCGAACATTACTTACTTGGATCGACCAAGATGTATATTGCGGCTTTCGTCGATTTAGCAGAAGACGCTTACTCTTCCGGTACACCTGGTCTTTTTCTCCTTACATATATTTAGGAGTCTCCGTGTAAAAATTGTTTGCCCTAGTGTTATTCAATTTGAGTTTACAACTGTGTTGATATGTCGCTATTTTTCATTTTTCAATTGACTGATAAACAAAAGCTGTGCTGTTGCACGCCATGAATTCTGATACGGGGAACATGTTGCACTTTTAATGTCATTTTAACTTTGTCATAGTTGGATGGTTCGATGAATACGACGGGTCAGACCAAAGTAGGTACAACACAAGGAAACTTCTTGACGGGTACCAATTGTGGGAACTTAGACTTTGTGTAGTTTTAGTTTAAATAATATTTCATTCAATATTTCAGCCATGTTGTACATACAAACATTTTGAATGGGGAAACAAATTTCTAGATGAATCTGCAGTCAAAGTATTTGATATAGCGATCAGTGCCTTTAATACCAAGTTACAGCATGATTGAAGAGTTCTTGTTTGATGGACAAATAAATTATACATGGAGGTTTAAAAAGTAACAAACGTACTATGGTTCAGTACCGTATTATTTCAAATTATTACCAGTTAATGGTTAAGATTAATTGTAATATGGCTTGTAAAAAAACAAGACCAAGTACAAAGTGAAAAAGTGAAAATTATTATATATCAGATTATACAAGTTGTTGGCCAGATCTTTAAAAGACCACAGGAAACATTTATTGGCGCAATCATGATTTTACTGGGATATAGTTGCTTTCTTTAATAAGAAGTAGATATTAAGCTCGTAAGTATAGCTAGTGGTTTCGCTTTTACAGCCTTTGTTCTCACTTGGGACGTGATATTACTTATATTTACCTAGATTTACATGTCAGATGTCGTCAATGTATTAGAGGACGCTTTCCCTTCCGGAACAGCTGGTTATATTCCCGTAACATGACGCCCGAGAATTTTTCTCTATTTTCCAATTATAACCCCTATTTCTTCAACGTCTGATACTGATAATACAGTGACATTGTCTACATTTTAACCTTGATTTACATGGCACATGTCTTCGGTGAAACAAAGGAAGTTTTGCCTCCTTATTTGATGAGACAGTGTTTAATAGTTTTAAGTCAGGCCATTGATTTGTTGATATATCGAACAATGGACATGACTTATGTGATTGTATTAATTCTGTAGTAATTTACGGTATTTACTCATAAAGAAAAGCAATGACCTATCAATGCTGTGGACAAAATTTATTTCACTTCATTTAAACATTTAACCAACAACTATATTATGGTTGTGCAAGTTAATGAGGTCGTCTTTGATGTCTGGGAGTCGGCTTGCAGCTGAAAGATAAAATTGATGGTATCAATGGTGAAAAAATGGTTTGAAGCTTAAGACATAGGTCAATGATTGTCAAAAATGACGATGATGAAGCAATCATGAAAAAAAAGTCGTGTGTTACAAAAATACTGACATGTCAATAGAATCTTGATACAAACTTACGGATACACTGTCCAGCTACTAAGATATAATTATTACAACACGTCAGGTGTTGATCAGGACATGTTGTGGATACCACTCTGCTGGTGTAGGTAGCATGATAACCCGTCTTATACCTGAGAAATATACATTTGATATATAAGAACTGATTGTAAAGGGTTATGAAAATCCCAAATGTCAGTTAAGATTTTTAAGATATTAAAACCAATCACCAATACATTTTACGACTTATGACAGTAAAAACAAAATATCAATACCAAAAATAGTTCCACCACAGAAATTAAGACATAAAAAAGATTATCGCCAGAGTTTACGACATCAAAAAAAAAAAAAAAAAAGAAAAGAAAAAAAACAAGAACAAAAAAACCCCCACTGATACAGAGTTTACGACATTGATTACCACGTTTTCGACACTAAACATGATTACCACTATAGAGTTTACGACATTACATTAGATTATCACTATATAATTTACGACATTGTATAAGATTACCACCACAAAATTCACGATATTAGATCAATTTACCAATATAGACATCCAATCAGGTTATCACTGAAATATTAATATTCATATATGAGTAATTTATGTAATTTTTTAACAGACTGTAAAATCAGATTACTAATAAAGTGTCTCCCAAATGTGACGAACTAATCTGTGCACACAACACCATATTTGAATGCATAGTCATATACCCGGTTGTGTAGCTTGTGGTGTGGCATCGCCCAAGGTGGAGAAATCCGCAGTGTCGAGTGCCGGTGTGTTTGATTGGTACAGTCACACGTACGGTGGACACGTGCGAATCCACGATAGTCTTTGTAGGGTTAATCTTGCAACACCAATGATCCCTACAAAAATCAAATAAGTTAAGTTGAAAGAGGAACTCGGGAAAATAAGAAAAAGCCAAAAACAATGATACCTGATATTTTTTTCACATACATCGTGCTACATTAAGAACACTTTTTCTTATGACCATTTCATAACTGTCATGTTTACAGAAACTACAGATTATCACGAGAAACATCTTATTGTTAATAGAACGTTATCTTTTGGCCAAAATTATTTACAATCTATAAATGATGGATAAGAAAGTCCTGCTATCTCAATCATAATGGAGGATGCCAAAGCTTAGTTATTAAATTAAGAAATTTTCTGCTGACAAATTTGCCATGCATTAAAATGCTGACGAACATAAGCATAACAAAGCACATTGCTTTCCTCCAATGACTACCACTGACCATGAAATTGGTTACTAGTATAGTATTATCATTTTCGAAACTGCTGCCTCTTAAACAGACAAGGTAATGCAAAACATTAGCATTGTTACCAAATATTGAATGACCTATAATGAGCCAGTTCCGTATACACTTACCCATTGTCGGTAGCTCTGCTTGAACGTATCACCTCTTTTACTCTGTCAGGAAGGGAATCAAACTCCAAATCTCCAAATTTGTATTCGTCATCGTTTACAACTTGTAATGTGTCTTCGTCAGAAGCCACAAAAACAAGGAGAAGAACGAGTAGAATATTGAACATCCACATTGTTGTGTGTGTTAGCAGTGTGTCCTTATCTTTGGTGCTCCTGTCCCTACTGGTATAACACTCGACCGCTTGACACTTCCAACGTTGACTTTGTAACTAAAACCAATGATGACATCAGGTTGATGAATAGTTAACGTATCTTAAATTCGATTGAAATAAAGATGTTGATGAATGTAGGACATATCAAAGTAGCGAGCATGAACTTGCAATTTAAAACTACACCTACAACTGTCAAAATTATCAACAAGTATAGAATGAAACTTGACATTGATTGTTGTCAATATTTGAAATACAATCAATTTTCATAAAGATGACGACACAGTTAATTGGAATTTATAACGGTCGTCAAAATCGTTATTCAATCTAGAATAATATACAATAAAGAATTCAGTTGGCGAGCCGATTGATACTCAATAACCACTAACTAGACACATACGAAATGTGTTTTATAAGAAAAAAAGATTATACTAAAGTGACATTAGTGAACACCTTAAAACACAATGGAACCATCAGTCATGATAAAGAGCATCGAACATATCTAACACCTTATAACACAACGAAACAGCTTTCAATGGAAGGCTACCTCTTTTTCAATAGTTTTCCAATTCTGGTGTCTTCACGATTGTGGGGGTCGATAAATTTCTTATTTGTCAAAGACAAAAGGTCATCAATATACTTAAAAGTGAAATTCAAGGACTTAGTAAGGTTTTAGTGTGGCACTCCTTTTGTCATGATATTACTGATGAAATGAAATTGTCAAGGCCTTTATAACTTCAACAATATATCTTAAAATGAAATTGAAGGGTTTTTTTCTTAATCTACGTTGATAAGCTTAGAATGAAAAAAGGTTAGCACAGAGAGGAAAATAGTTTGTACGCCAACAATCGAAAATATTTTCAACCAGAATTTCAATCGTTTTAATTTTTTTCGGTATTTTTCTCCTTGGCTTTAGACATACATTTTCCTCCAGTATCGATCTCACGAAACTAGTACCGCTGGTCAACTTATCAGAATATAAAGATGATCCTTTAGTTTAGAACAATGTAGGGTAGAGAGAGAAAAAAATAAAATGTTCTAAAAGAAAAAAAAATGTTTGTTTCTCAGGAAAGAATTTTCAACAATGTTAAAACTCATTTTGATTTCTTTAAGGTCGGCAAAGCATTAATTTCATTTCTGGACCATACATTATCACAATGTGACCTTCCTGATTTGATAATGCCATGAATGGTAGTTAGAAGCATAGTTAAAAATGTGGTAGAACAACTTGACAATAAACAATAAAACACAGTTGATGAACAGGGCATATCGTTATCATCAATTGACAATGTAAAGGATAGTAATACTATAGAATGATTTCCTAATAATAAAATAAATAATTGACATATCTACTGTGTATGTCTAGCTGGAGAGGAGTAATTCTGAGATCGTATAAATTCATCTGTTGCAGTTATTGTATGCAATTGAAAAGCTTGGAAGCAAAGGGCTTGACTTTGAAGTCTCCATGTTACTTTCCAAAGGTCAGCGGAATTCATTATGTCCACCACACTGTGGTTAACCTGTCACGTGCATAGATAATCAGGTTGAAATGGATGATAGCACACGTAGTCCATATGGATCTTTCCAAAAAAAAAAGTCCACGACCGGTAAGTGTACCTGACACACCTGTTACAATGCCCTGCTGATCATTTGGCCTCGCTTAAATACAAAAGTCATGCGTGCGTCTATGTTTTATATGGTAGAGAAATCATTTTCATAGAACAACTGTCAGTCTATTTGAAAAGATAAACAACTCCTTTACTTGTCATATCATAATATTGCTTGTGTCTAACAGTAAATGAACACTTAAACATTAAGGCATCACGTGACTTTACAAGCACATTAACAAAATAAGTGTTACCTACCCGACAACCAGAGTAAATAGAAGTTAAAACAAGGTCATGATTTTAGTTTAGAGAAAAACAAAGACAGGTGTAATATCTGTTAATTTATTAAGATTAGATCGAAGAGTATACTCTTGGATGGTAGAGAGTGTAGCTTCAACCATAACGTCGTTACAAAGATTTACGACCTTTTGAACATTATCAGCTTCGCCAATGTTGATTAGAATTTTCTGTTGCTCAGTGTTCTGTTAATTTGTTCTTCGTTTCTTGGCTAAGTTTTCGCAATGATTGCTGAATCTCCTCTTTCAGTGTTGTGTTGGCACACTACAACAAGTTGACTACATGATCGCTTATTTAAACTCACTGTTGGCATCGATCTTATGTAGTCAGGGTCGGTTAAGAAATTCAAAAGTTTTTTATTTAAAAATTCATTTATGACTTTGATTTTTCACTGTTGAATTCGTGTAAATGACTATCACTACATAAGTTTTTTTTTTTTCTTTTTTGTTGCACTTTCCCTTGTATATTTTGACATTTCTTTCGCTCCATTTGGATTTTTCTCAGTCGCCTCCTAGGTTTCAAAACACGATGTTAGGCCCTAAACATCATTGACGAGTCCTAGAAGGCTGTATGGTGAAGTTTAATTCATTCATTATTCAGCTCTACTGTGTCTGATTCTAAATTTGTATTAAAAATTGCTTATCAC